ACGCACAGCGGCTTTCCACGGCCCCTCCCCCAGCCTCACACTTCCAGGCACCGTCCTAGGTAGACCTCCCACTCCTGGGACAGAGGCTGGCTTGTTGGGGTCCTTCTCATTTTAAGGCAAATCTCTGGGGCTCCCACCCAGGGCTGTCCCATCTAAAGCCTGAACAACCTCACTAGCCACATTCTGAGCTCCAGAAAATCATTCGATAACAAGGAGTATCTCAAAGGGTCAGGAAGCAGTCAGGCGCTCCCTGAACGAAGGGTCCAGGCTGCTGGCCAAGAAGCTGCTAGTCACTAAACCATGCCAAGGGCACCCGGGTTCACCTGCCCAAAGAGCTCCCCAAGAACTAAAAAGGCAGGTCCTAGTGAAATCCTAAAATACTTTTCTTCCCCCACAGCATGAATAATTTTATGCTTTATTGTATTTCAAATCATCATGAAATAATTTAAGTAATTCTGGTCTCTTTACGTCCAGTTTTGGAATGGGGGAGCTGACGGCAATCAGCATTTGTCTACACACTTAGGGGCAAGAGCAAACTGGGGACGGCAGCAACGCTCGGCTATGGTTGTTGCAGAAGCCCACTCAGGGCTGAACCGGTTCTTGGCTGTCAGCAGTCTCGACTTTTAACCAGGACAGATCATCAGCCATGGAACCGATTATCTTGAGTGGATTGCAGGACTGACCAATCGGAGGCCAGAAGCCTGGCGGGAGGCTCAGCTCCCGTTCAGGATCCAGGGCAGCACAGTGGGCTGGCAAAGTCTAGAGGTGGAATGGCTGTTTCTTCGCTCCTGAAATCCCTTTTTTCCAAACCACCTAGATGCTTTCCTCAAACCAGGTAAATCATCTTTTGACACATTTCAAAAAGTGTGCAACTGTCCATTCCTTAGTAGTTAGTTATATGTCGTAGAATTTCCAAAGGGCTTTCACATCAACTCTGCAAAGTAAGCCTTAGAAGCCAAGGCTCAGAGAAGAGAAATGATGTGCCTGTGAATGCAGTGCTCGTCAGTGACAGAGACGGGACCTGAACCGGGATCTGCCTCGAAGTCCAAGACCCTTTCTGTGATATAGCAACTAAAGATGGTTTCAACCGAGTAGCTGCAATTTTTCTCAGATTTCATTTTCCAGAAAGGCTAATTACCGTTCAGGGAATTTCCAAATCTGACCGCTCTGAATGGAGCCACTCCTTGTCCAAGTGAAAAAGCCATTTCCAACACGAAAATTCCAACCCTCCTTTAGCTTTACTCAACAGTCTGCAGTAGCTACTTTTTTTTTTTTGAGGGTCCTTGGCTTCTTAAACATTGTCCAAAAATACCCCTACAAATTTAAAGATGGTGCCACTGGGACAGCAAACTTTCTCCAGGGGGAGAGACACAAACTACTGTCCATTCTTAGGCCCATGCTGGAATGGAAGAAAGCTGGGACTAACTTCTTCTGACCAGACAGCCGTGAGCTCAGTGAGGAAGCAAACCTGCACCCCCTGTTCCCTGCAGGAGCTAGACGGAGGGCACCCTCACAGAGCCTGAGTCAAGGTAGGTCACAATCAACAGACCACAAGAGGTCACCTGCTCACAGAGGGGCAAAGAGAAGAGGGGACCCTTCAACTCCAGACCCAGCCTAAGGAAGGTGGAGCATGTGACTAGGTTTGGAAAGGCTTTGCTTCCCCTCACTCTGCCTCCAACTCTCTGAGTGCTCTGGAGACCCAAAGAGCCAAGAACAAGCACGTCACTGACACTGATCAGCCTCCAATCTCTTGCTGGTTGGTCCAGAGGAGCCACCCTGAACTGACCACTTGGGTGACCAGGCTAGGCCTGCATGCTCTTTGGGAAAATATGGTGGGAGAGCTTATAGCCAGCATAAACTGACACCTTTTCAATCTGGGGTCACGCTGATGAACTCAGTTTGCCACAGTGTCATCCCATAACACACTACCCATCATCACACCCCTTTCCTCAGCTCCAAATCTCCTAGGGAGAAGGATTCCCCTGATACAGAACAGGAATACCTGAGGTTCAAACCAGGGACAAAAGGCAGAACTCACACTCCCTACAGGACTCAGGGATCAATGGCCACTGTCTGGCTCTGGGACACCATCCCAGATAAAGGAGAAAGAAGATGCCCAGGCCCCCTCAATTTCTGACTACCTCTTGGGTTGTCTTTCGTGGCTCCCCAATCTCAGCCGAAAATGACGAGGAATGACCTTCGCTCCCTGAGGAGAATGTACAAGGCCGAAGCCCACAGCTGAACAGCGTGGACGTGGATTTCTGTGGACACAGGCAGGCGGAGAGGAGCTCAGGAATCGGCATGACGGGTGGGGTGGGAAGTGTGAGGGCTGATCAGGATTATAAAGAGACAAAAGGAAACAAAGCATTAAAGAATACTTACTGTGCGCCTGGAATTTTCACAGGTATTATTATCTCACTTAAACTTCACAGTAAAACTCTGTGGTATTAGCTCAAATTTACAGAAGAGGAAATAGGCTTTGCGAGGTCAAGTGACCTCCCGATGGCTACTAGGCATTAAAACTGGTGTTTAAACCTGAGATTTCTGACTTTATACTCAAAGCCTAAAGACTTAATCCCAAACCACTTGCCTCCTAGGGCCTGGGTTTCCCTACCTGCAATGATGAGGCAGGTGCGGAGGGAAAGAAGAGGAAGGATAAGAATGTAGGAGTGCCAACAGTACTTTTTAGATAGGAAATATTAGACTGTAGTTTATGTAAGAACCAAGTTCAGAAAATGACTCACTTAAAACTAGCTGCTAACAGGTCCTGGGCGGCTATTATTCCTAGTCCTTCCCCCAGGGCAAGCTCCTGATGAAGGTCTGTGAACAGGGTCAGTGGGGAGGAGGGGGTGTAAAGCAAGAGGACGCCACAGACAAAAAGCCTAGTTCTTTGTAATGGAAAACTGGGGGAAACCAGCTCTGGGCTAGAAAGGCCTCCCTGGCCAGCCTGCTGATACTGCAGGATCGCAGTAGGTAGCCGGCAGGTAGCTGAGGAGCTCAGAGAACTCAGGAGCCGATCTGATCGATATGGGGTGAGGGGCAAGCAGGGGAGACTCTTTTCTGGTTAGTTCTCCCGCTCTACCCCTCCTCCTACTCGGCCGGTGGCTCTGGCTGAGAGGACAGCATCCTTCCTAGGGCTGAACCATGCCCTCAAAGAGGCAGCCCTAGATTGGGCTGGGGGAAGTGATGCCAAGCAGCAAAGAGCAGGGTTGGACCTTGGGATAAAGGTCACCTCTCCTCCTGTTGAGGACTGTGTCAGCAAGAAAGGGCCCTGGGCTGTGGTTGAGTCCAGCCTGCCAAGCCTGTTGTCCAGTTGTCCAAGCCTGTGGCTCCTCCAGCCTGCTCCCAAGCCTATGGAAGCTCACCAGCGGATGGGGGAATATCCTGGGAAACGCTTGTTGAGAGAGACAAGGTCTGTTGGAAATTTAAAAAGCTGCCTTCCAGACAGTCCTCTAGACAAGTCTAGGAGACCCGCAGGCACCGCGTCCTCCGTCAGCTCCAGCACCAGGACTGGGAGCTGGACGCCGGAGCAGCCACAGGCTTGGACAACCAGGACAGAGTGAATGGGCAGGAAGGAGGCCAAGGGAAAGAAATCAAGAATCAGAGTGAGTCCACACATGGACTGAAAGGGAAACTCTAAGCCAAGTTTCCACAGAAAAATCAAAGGACAGACTAGAGACTGGGGTTTGGGGCCAGAAGAGAAGGCCAAACTGTCTTATTATCTAAGCGCAGGGCCACCCTCCCTTCCAGATCACCCAGGGGCTGGGAGAGCCTACCGGGGCCCGTTCTAGACCCACATTTCCTCCAGAAGCCCTTGGCAGAAAGCACTCACCTTCTCTAACTCTTGATGGCCTCTTCTCAGGAGACCCAAAGTCAATTTCTCTTCCCCCTGGTGCTGGCAATGGTTTGGTCCCTGAGTCAAACCTACAACTACCAATGGCTCTCCCTCCCCCACTAACCTGAAGTGACCCATTGAACCTCAGGGTCTTGCCCAATCGTGGTGTTATTTATTTTCCTGATTTCTAGACACACACACACACACACACACACACACAATCCTGCAGGCCAGAGACAATGTCCCAGGGGCAGGGAATGTGTTCATTTCCAGGTGTCGTGCCTCTGCTCCAGCAGTGGTTGCACTAGCACAGATCAGCCTCGGGCTCCTCTCCCTGCCTTGGCAGCCCTCCAGAAAGTCAACCCAGAGAGGAAGGGTTAAGTGCCTGGGGGGCGCCCAGACAGGGCTGCAGAGCAGGGCAGCCTCCAGCCCGTGGCACAACTGCTCCTCCAGCACGAGCCTGCCAGCCGCCGCCTTTGTTGACGGACTCTGCCACATGCTCGACTGACACGGACTGCCCCGCCCTGGCGGGGCTGGTGCCAGGCTGCCGGCCAAGCACCCGGCCAAGCGCCCGGCCTCGGGTCTGGAGAGACTCTCTGAGGTACGCTCTCCAGAGTCCCAGGCCCCAGTTCTCAGACAGAGACAATGAGGAGCAGCCTCCCCAGCTGGAAAGTGTCAGGTTACAACCGGTTCCACCACTTTCCCCCACTCAGGCCCATCCCTCAGCCTCGGTTACTCAGTTCCCACTGCACCTCAGCCAGGCACCCCCAACTGTCCATTTTCACTGCAGCACCCTGAAAATCGTCCCCTTAGGTAAGTGACAATCTCCCCACCCTGGCTTCAAGAAGACACAGTTCGTCAAGCAAGGCTGCAAAAAGCCATCCCATTTTCCAGGAAGGAGGGATGGTAGCATCCCCCCACAAACCACTCTTACAGAACCTGAGCTGAGAGTGGGCAGATAACAAACTGGGAGTTCAGAGACAGGGCCGGCATGCTCACCCAGTGGGGCCTACCCAGGCCTCAGGAGTCACAACAGTCAAGGCCCAGACTCTGAGACTATATCCTTGAGGTCTGGCAAAACAGAGTTGCAAAGGCAGGCCCCAGCCCCCCAGCCCCAGCAGACTGAAATCTCGCCCCCCACCCCACCCCAAGGCCCCATGCCTACTTGCTGCAAATGAAGCCGATGAAACTGGTCTGCAATACACTGAAGCTTTCTGGCAATCTGTATCTCTGCACGATGTTGCCACTGTCCTTCGGGGGGCTGCTCACCAAGGGGCAAGCCTGCAGGGAAACTGGCAGGGAGAGGGAGCCGGTAGCCAGCATTGCCTGCAAAGACAGAGGGCCCACATCTCAGCATTCTCCACAACTGCCCCTTCCTCCCCATGCTTAACTCTCCTGGCAGAGGCCTGGGGCTGAGGCCTTATCAGGGCAGCCTGCCAAATCTGGACAACCTGCCTTGCTTGCTGCCTAATGCTGGTGCTGGGAGTGTATAAATGTTGGTGCTGGGAGAACACAAGGGATGGTTCCAGCCTTCCCTTCAGTTCTCCATTTGCTGGCAGTGCCACCACAAAGGCAGTGTGTGTGGGTGAACATGCCAACCTTCTGTCCTTCTTTACCAAGCTATGCTTGACCACAATTTATTATTCAGGTAGCAGCAGGTTGAAGTTCTTCTCTGGAAAAGCACTGGAGGCAGCTCTCCAGAGGTCCTGGGTTGAGCAAAGCAAGGCACACAGAAACAGAAAACCAAAATGTGTCATTTTTTAGTGTAGCAGAGGAAGATTGGTCTCAGGTCTTACAGTTCTGGACAATGGTACAAAAACTAGGGAGAGAAGACTCCTCAAACCCCTAGAATAGCCAAGTTCCTCTCTGGAGGCAGCCCAGGCAAGACCCGGAGATTCGCGATCCACACTTACTGAGTGCTGGCAATCAAGCTGCCGCTAGGGGCACCCGCCCGCCGGCCTCCTCCCTCCTTCCCCTCGACCTGCCAGAACTGCTGTGCTAGTTACCCAACCGGTGAGCTCCCTCCGGGAATAACTGCAGCGTCCCCCCAAAATGTCCATCAGACCCAGCAAGAGAGCCTCTGAACCTTTCCCCTCTCTCCATAAGCTATTGTGCTAAAAGAAGAAAACAGTGTCTAACCTCGCCCTTTGGCCAGAAGAGGGCATATTGCTCACAAAACAAACCATTTAAGTCCACAAATGAAGGGGTCTTGTCCTACTGAGCCTTGGAAACAGCCCCTCTGCTGGCATGGAGCCTAGGCAGTCCCTACATCTTTTTCCAGTTCCCCTGCCAAGCACAGAAAGTCCCAAGTGACAAATGGGGGCCACCTTCTGCCTTCAGGAACCTTCTGTCCCAGAACCAGCTGGGTTTTTCCCTTTGGTGTCAACAGCGAGTCACAGAACCCCCAACCTTCTCCAGAGCAACACCAGCTACTATATGGAAGGTACATCACAACCAGGACACGAAGGCGGGACCACTCTCTGGGCCACAGGATGTAAAAACTGAGGCTCAGATACCCTCTCTCCAACCCAACAAGACACTATGGACCCAAGGATCCCTCCAGAAAGGGACAAAAGAACAGAAGCAATGGCAGGGCAACAAGCCCTTCTTGGTGCCCAAGGAGCACAGGTCAGGAGCAAGGACAAGCAGAAAGGCAGCAGGTGAGAGCTGAGGAAATCAACAGCCCCTGCTGCTCACTGTGGGGAAGGAAATGGCAAAGGGCAGGTTAGGGGAGGGAAAGTCCCCTCTTTTCCCCAAGTCTCTATGGGAGGAGCCCTGAGGCTATGAGCACTCACCATAAAAGAGTCGCTGGGGTTCCTCGGTCACCCCACAAGGCAGCATGACACCCTGGCTCGGGGAGGCTGGACTGAGGGTCTGAGTGGCCTTGTCTTCCTGGCTGGTGGGTCGAAGCCCAGGGCCACAGCAGTGGGTGAGGGGGAAGAGCTGCAGGCGGCTGAGGGGGCAGTCCAGCGGGCTCTGGGCAAACAGGTCAGCAGAGGGCAAGTTCCCAGGCTGGGTCCCCAGCTCATCCTCTGGCTGAAACACATCATCCTCCAGCTCCTCCACACACTGAGGTGGATCCATCTCCCCTGTTAGGGCGTAATAAGGCATCCAGGATGCTATCCCTTCCAGGCCAACCCTGAAGTGGGGGCCCTAGTGGGGGGCCCTCCCTTCCCCTTCCTTCTTCCCGCTTCTCCTTTCCTATCTTGGGAAGTGGGGACAGGTACTGATGGCTGATAACCCTGGTGATGTAGTACTGCCAAGGGTGACACTTGTCCCCAAATGTGGACTGCCTCACTCTTCTGGGACTCTCTGCACCTCTGAGCCCAACCAGAGCCCAACCAGAGCCAACCTCCCCTCAGCCTCTTCTTCTGACCCAGCTGGTCACAGTCATGAAGTTTGACTGCTACGGGCTCTGAGCAATAGTAGGGGTATGATCAGCTGCTACAAGCACTCAGAGTACCTGGGGAAATGTCAACAAGACTAGGACTCCGTGAGTGGCTGTGGGAGGGCAGAAGGGTGCTGTGACTGGCTGTACACACAGAGCTCACAACACTCACTCACTGCCCTGACAGTAACCAACCACCGAGTCTGAACTGAGCTCTAGGCTCAGCAATAAAAACAAAAGCTAGTCAGCAATCTTAGGGCAGCCAGGTTCCCTCCAAACCTGCTAAGCCCCGCCCAGCTGCCCGTCTATTCTAGTCTCCACCCCCAGCTTGCTCAACACAACAAACAGGCTCCCTGGTGTGGTAAGAGTGTGTCCTGGGAGAGAGAGGGAAGAAAAACCCAAATTAGTCATTGCAGCTGCCCTCTTAGTCCAGGAGAGCAGTCTGCCCACCACAGCTTGGCCTAGAGGGCAGGTCCAGCATCCAGCAGAGTGGCCGGCCTCCCCCAGCTCAGTCCACTAACTAGTTTCCATGACTTCAAATCTTTCCCCACAGCCTACCATTCCTGCCAGTGCTGAACCTGAGATTGGTACATCCTGCCTCACAGGAGGAAGTGAAATTTGGCCCTTTCTCTGTGACCTCAGTCACTGCCTATACTACTCAGGTTGTTGACATGAGTTTCTTGGTAATAAATAAGTTCTTCTGGCTTCACCTGATGACTCTTGGAAGTCTGACCTTGGAGCCACCTAGCATCTGGAGTTCCCAACCCAGACCCCTACACACACACTAGGAACCCCACAGAGCCCCTGGAGCAACCAGAAGCAACAACCACCTGAATAATGGTTAAGGATACAGAGAAACAATGTTTGTCCCTGCCAGATTCAATTAGAGATCCCCTGGGAATTCTGCCTCCCAGTCTCCTGCTTTGAAGAACAAGCCAAATGGTGTGTGGGTTGATCAAGTACTTAAAGAAATCTCAATTAAATTCAGAAATCCTGGCTTTCCCAAATGCAAGCTGTCTCTCTGAGATGCTTGCTTGAAGCCTCCCTCCATCCCATCTAGCCCTGAAGCTATGGTCCTATCTCTCTGCCCTCTTCCCTGGAGAGTGATGAGATGCCCACTTGGATGGCAAAACAGGCACCTGGTGTTCTTTGAATAGTTTTTCCAAAGCAGGGGTGGGAGAACTCCAGCTTATCAGCACCAGGAAACAAAGTTTCCTGCTGAAAAGACCAAAGGCTGTCATGCCAGTCACCTGGCAAGGACTCCCCTTCTGCCCTTCAACCTCCTCTTGGCAAGCTGGCAATCCCAACCTAAGAAGGGGCCCTCCAAAGCCAATCACAAGCAGGACTCATTGTCTTGGTTCTTCCTTTGAAGCCCATTACCTCCCCCTCCCCCTCCCAGCAAAGCCCCAAAGTTCAACCCTTGTTTGGCCTGGATCGTGGGGGAGGTATAGCCAGAGGGTGTGGCTCTCCCAGCTGGGGGACCCTTCCCACTCTACAGAAACTTAAGGTGGAAGCCTCCGGGTGGGTGTTGGGCAAGGTCATGTATAAAGTGGGATACAGTGGAGAGACCCTCTTCTCCCTCTCCCCAGACCTGAAGAGGTGATGTCCAAACTGGTAGGAGGAACCCTTCCTAAGAGCTTTGCTAGGGAAGGCTTTATTCCTAGCAAGGGGAACTAAAGCCGCTGTAGCCAACCCAGCCGCTACGGGCTCTAACAGGGATGCTGAACTTAGACTCCTCCTCCTAGGAGAAGGCGGTAGACAGACACTCTGAACCTCGTCAGGGTCTAAAATCTGGGAACGCTCACACACACTCACACTCACATTCACACAACACACAGCAGACCTGGGTGACTCCAGGAGAGAGTCTCAGCCTCCGAGTCGTGATGCCAGGGCTCCGCGCCAGGGTCCAGCGTGACGAGCACTCGGGGGCTTGGCGCCCGGACTCAATTGGGAAGGAGGGAAAAGCCCAGCTGTTAAGGAGAGGGGCCTTCAGACTCCGCAAGGAGACAGGACGCCCCACAACTCTCTGCCCTACCCCAAAGTAAGATCCAAGGACTGGGCGGTTCTCTGGCGACCAGGTCGACTAAGCAGTGCGCCGCAGGTTCCCCTGCCCACCTGGACTCAACTCCTTGGACTCTCAAATGCTGCAAACCCCAAATCGCCTCGTGGAGCAGCGCACCTAGATGTGGATTCTGCACCCCGTGCCCGTAGCCCAGCGCCCCAGTCCTTCATGGTCACCCCAGACACCCGCAGCCCAACCCTTCCCGGGCCCCCACGCGCAGCGCGACTCCTCTCCCCACTTCCCCGAGGAGGTGCGATCCAACTCCGCCCGGCTCCCGGCAGCCTGGGCGCTCACCGGGCTGTTACGGGAGGCGGGAGGCGCAAGCAGGGGCGGCAGCGGGCGGGCGCGGAAAGAGGCCACTCTGCACCTCGCGGTATTGTTTCCAAAATACGCCCGCTCAGGGCATCCCGCAAACAGCTGATGAGGCCCCGCCTCCAGCGCGTCACGCCGATGACTGGCCAATGATGAGTGGAACCCCAAGTCCCGGGCTGGGCGGCTGCCAGGGACAGTCAAGAATGTGCGAACCTTCCCTTGGAAATATTGCAAGGGGCCGAGCAAAATTCTGACCCACGCCAGAAACGCAATTGGTGCGTGGTCTTCCTCGCAGATTCCGTTCGTTGTGCAGCCTCAGGAAGCAGGGGAGCGTCCCTGAGCACTATTAGGGTCGAGCGAGGGGGCGCCAAAGTGATTTTGGTCTTCTTTCTCGGGAATGGGCGGAATAGACTCGGCATCCAGACAGGGAGGGGCGGGGAGACGGAGAGCTTTTAGACGCGGCTGGCGGTGTCCAATGGGTTCAGGTGCGGGTCCCTGTGGATCCCAGCCGGGTGGCAGGGCACCCTCCCACTTACCGAGCGAGTCAGGGGAAAACCCCAACCCCAAATCTGTGGGAATCCTGAGAACATGTGTCTAGTGCTGTTACTGAGTGACTTTCAGATTAAACACATCCAAAGGGATTCTCAGGTAGTCTTCATGACTGAGCGTGGACACTTACAAAATAAACATCTGACTGAGGAGAAGAGAAATAAAAAAATACAGGGACCACTTGGGTAATTAACACACATCCTGTTTATGACGGCATCCAGAGGTGGTGCTAGTGCTGCCAGGAGAGCAATGTGCCCTGCAGATGGTATACTATCGGTAAGGGAATCTGTGGACTAATCCACAAACATTTATTGAGCACCTACATTGTACCAGGTACTGGGCTGGGTGCCAAAAACCTGGTGTCTTCCATCAGGGAGCTTATAACCTACTGAGAGAGGTAGACCTGAAAATGATGGAAAACAGTATGAAATGTGTTAATCTCAGGAATAATGACTCCTGGGAGAGGCACAAAGCAAAGACTAGCAGAGGCTTCAGAGAGATGACTTTCAAGTTGGGCCTTGAAGGAAGGGGACATTTTTTCAATAAGGAAACTGTATCAAATAGCCCAGGCCTAGGGGCAGCAGAACAAAGTGAACTGGGGAATCTGGCCTGGGAGGAGGCTTGAGGAGGAGACCATTGGATGCACACCGGGATTTCGGAAGGGTGGGCAAGGACAGGTAGATTCAAGTCAGAGTACATTGGCATCCCTAGATTGCCAGGTGGGAGAATCTGTACTTTATTCTGGAGGCAAAAGGAAGCCAGCAAAGATTTATAGAAGACAGAGTGACTTGACCAAGCCAGAATTTTAGGAAAGATAAATGAAGGCCTGATCACAGTGGTGGTGGTGACTGGCCATCTTCTGACTACTGAGCTGCTCTCTCTGGGTTGTAAACTCAGACGGATTTAAGTTTAAGGAACTGGGACCCTTAGCTCAGAAGAGCCTGAAGTCATCTTATACCTGTTTTCCTACCCCTTCTTTCCCTAGCTCCCTCAAAGTTACGTAAAAGAGAGCAAACCAGGCACACTGAGTGCTGTGGTTGCTGGAGTAAGAAAACACTATCCCAAAAGGATGGAGAGGAGGGAAAAGGGACAGAGGGGAGTGTCAAGGTTGGCCAGTAGCCCAGTCCCCCCAGGACTTGATGGACATCCAAAAAGAGGTGCTGGAGCCAAAAGGAGGTATATTATTTGACCAGGAGGCTGGGCCAAGGCGGGGTATCAGAACCCATTAGGGTGGCTGTGAATGCGTGGGGAGATGAGGAGACCAAACTCAGCCTCCGTGCAGGGTTCTTGGGAGCCCTCGTCATGTTCACCACACACAGATCTCCTTCCCCTCCTCCCTCCCATCCTTCTTACTGGCTTTCCTCCATGGCCAGTGATGACGACAGGAATTACTTAGGGTAAAGAGTGAAACTAAAGGATAAAGCAGCTCTGAATCTGTCCTCCGGGGCATCATAGGCCCCAGGGGACAGAGGTCATCCTAATTCTCCTGACCCAAGCTGCTAAGGCTCTGTCTGCTTTGGGTCCACAGGGCCAGGGAGCTGGTAGAGCAGGGTGTTTACCTGAGATCTATGTATTTGCCAGACTTACAGGGTCTCCTCAGCAACTACGAACTCCTGAATTTGGCTAAATTCCATGTGGGTTAACACAAACATTTTTTGGAGGGGTGGCTCCATAGCTTATAACAGTTTCCCAAGGGGTCTGTGACCCTATAAAAGACTTAAAATCACCACTCTAGGGGAGCAGAGGGGATCATCTTAGTGGGTCTGGGCCATTTGCAAGATGAAGGGAGGGCCACACCCTGTAGTGACATTTCTTCTAAGTCCTCTCCCCCAGGCTTTCCCAGGCTGCTCCCTCAGGCTAGTTCTAAAGGACACCTGGTGGCTTGGCCTCCTGGGCCCTCAGCCTCTAAGGTCAAGCAGCAGGGGCTGAGCCTTCTGAACCAGAGGGACCAGAAAAGACTGTCAGGGATAAAGGGGTCAGGGAGGTCAGGAGCCTCACTCCCCACCTCTCATCCCTGTCAAAGCAGACCCCGCCCCCCACCCCACCCTTTCTCCCCTGCCAGACTGGGCAGACTCTGCAGAGTTGGGACCAGCTGGGCTAGAAATCCGGGCTCTGAGCCCCTGTCCAAGAGCCACATGCTAGTAACAGAGGAACCAACCCTAGGCTTTTGATGGGGTTCAGAGCAAATGCATGTTGCAGCCGCAGCAACCTTTATTTCAGATAATTTCCTTTCTCTCTTTCTCTTCCCACCCCTCTCCTTAATTTGTTTTCTCTTCTGCCGACTGATCCTGGCTCTAGAAGGAGGGTCCCCAGAAAGGAAAGGCAAAGTTGCTCTGAACAGCATCAGTGTGCAGGCCTGAGAGGGAGGCAGACCTTCCCCCACAATCTGGGAGGGATGCGAAGAGTTAAGGGGAGCGCTTTCAACAGAAGAGAAAACCCAGCTCCCTGTGGACAGCAGGCAGGAGCCCTCTCCATTGTTTCACCTGGCTATAGGATTTCTCTCCGAGACAAGGAATGGGCTCTAAAACTCCGGTAACTGGATCACTGGGAAGGGAGGTTTTTTAAAAACCAGCTGACAGCTGAATAATAGGAATTACCAGGCAGGCCGCCCTGGGGTTACTGAGGTTTGTAACTCAACCCCCAGGGAGGGGTTAGATTGGAAACTGATTTATGGGTAAGGTGGGGGTCTCGGTGGGGGAGCCCATAGTGCTTGACCCCCTTGCCTCTTAGCTCCCTTGAAGACGGATCCTGAATGTAAGAAAGACCAAGAACCTGGAAGGCTTGGTGTCCCTTCCCTCTCTGGATTTGCTCTAACAGAGTGAATTTATCTCTCTGTGCATGATTCCATCTGCCTGCATAGGAATTAGTTCCTCTCTTCTGAGTTGCAGAGTGCGTGCGTGCGTATGTGTGTGTGTGTGTGTGTGTGTGTGTGAGAGAGAGAGAGAGAGAGAGAGAGAGAGAGAGAGAGAGGAGAGAGGAGAGGAGTGGGAGACAATAGCAGAACAGACAGCAGACAGATTGACTTCTGCTAATTGGATAAACAAGTAGAGAGACTTGATTTCCCAGTCAATTGGCTCACCACATGCCAATCACTAGTTCAGTGGGACTAAAACAGAAAAAACAGGCACTAGAGAGAAAACATTTGGGAATTCAGAAACCTGTACGTAAAGGGCAATGCAGAGACGGAGGCATCCCTGCTAACGCCCAGAGGAGCCTAGGAGATAGGGTGAAGTCCATGAGTTATCACATTCAGCACATATTCGATTTTGTTTGGAGGGACATGCAATCAATATTTCCTGAGTAAGCAAAGGGATGAATGTATATTTCCACATTTAAAAATATGAGTATTAGGGGGTGGAAAAAACCTCTGGTGGAGCATTTTCCATGAATGTCCTGTCTTACACTGTCTTTGCCACTTGGGATGGTTGGTTTTACCTCAGTTTCTTTTCACCAGCAAAGCCTCAGAAGGCGAAGGTGATGCCATCAGCGCTTTGGTACCCTTAGACCACCCTCCCCCAGGCTTGGCACATGACGGAACTACGTCTATGGAGGCCAATTTACAGAATAACTTCAAGCACGGCCCTCAGCATCATGCCTCAGCTCCCCTTCCCCTCACTCAGCATGCCCAGCCTGCGGGTAAAAAAGTTGGCCTGATCCTGGTAAGAGACGAAGAAATCCAATTAAAATACTCTTCCTTTAAATCTACTCCCCCCCACATGCAGCCTCGTTCCTGGGCAAAGGTACATCAATACATCAGTACATATTTTCCTTGGGATTGCAGGGAAACATCAGAAATTTGCAGCTGAGGCCAGAGAATGATCAATTGTTATCAAGGAAATCTGCCACTCTAGAAGAGCTGGGCACCGGTCCCTTCTGGGCCTAGAGCCTCCCAAGTTTTGAATCTGGGGTTCAAGAGGATCTGAGCAGAGAAGATAAGTTGAATCAGCTGTTTCCCAGCCAACCCCTCAGCCCCCACTTTCCAGGAGTAGAAGAGGGTCCCTATCTGCAAGTGAGGGAGAAGATCGATCACCTAGGTATGAGTTCATTAAACATTAACTAAGCAGCTGCCACATGCTAGGCTCCTCTCCAAGGGCTAGAGGTGCAGGCACAGTCCCTCGGGGGTCCTTGAGTATATCCACACCCTTTATTCACAAACACGAACCTTCCTGCACACGAGCTAAGGGAGAGATGGGGACAGGAGGAAGGTGTGGCAGAAGCAGCAACCGGACAAGGCAAACAGCCTCCCTGGGGGGCTGGGCTTCCCCGAGGTGACCTTGCCTTTCTCCTGGAAATGTCTGATGCCTCACTTCTTTCCTGCCCCCAAAGCCCACCCGTCATCAGATGGAATAGAAAGAACCCCAGGCTAGATGTTAGGAGATCTGGGTTCAGTTCCCAGCTGTGCTA